GGTTATTAGACTCCTGCGCATGTCACTTTAGAGTGATTAGGACTGGGGTTGGTAGGTCAAATGGTATGGTTGCAAAGTTGTATACTTGAATTTGAATTCATTGTCCTGGTTCGTCGACTTGTGAGCCCATGCAGGTGCCTATCATTCTTTCTAATTTACATGAGAGGAAATCTTTTGCTGAAAACCCCACAAATATTCCTGTTTATTGTCTATGTTTTTGTAACGTATCCTTCAAGAAGCGCAGTTAAAATATAGTGCCCTCCATGTAACCCAATCACATCAGCTTTATCGAACTTAAGAAAGGCGTGACCTGTTCCTTTCTATCTGCAGCATTTTGACCACCTTTGTCATTTGAAATTGTTCTATCCAACCATGGTTTAGGATCCACTGTGTTATTCTTTTGATTTCTCCAGGATTGTTTAACATGGCTTCATAGGATCGATCTTTGGCTTGTCTCAGAGTCTCTCCTCTTCTATTTGAACATCGGGTGCAGGACGTAATCATTTGCATGGAGTTCTGAAATTGGTAGCCACATGGACAACTTGGACTGTAGACTCCAGGCAGTTTTCTTCTATATGGATAATGTTCGGATTAGGTCCTGGTCAACGATATCTAGCCTAATTGTACTATGTTGCAGGCTACTGTTCCAATTATTCATGGGTTCATCATCAGGGTTGCGAGTAGTTCCGGTTTGGTGTGGGTTAATAGATTGATACCTGAGCGTGTCGCATAGTAGCCAGAAATGCGACTCGAGTAGCATATGCACGGTAAACCTCAACCCCAAAATGATGATACGAATCAAGTTTTATATGCTGGGTCCTGTATGGCTGGCGTGGTTGGAACATGGGGAATTTACCTGTAGATAGATAAAGACGCTATTGTTGTGCTGGTGATGGCTAGTATTATGATGCAAAAGTGTAATGATCACTAAGGGTGAAGGAAGAACTTTCAAGGTGGTTCCATGATGAGTAGAATAGTAATGGAGCACTGAATAGAAGGTGTTTCTAGATAATACTAACAGATAGAGGATACTAGAATATTCCGTGATATTAAAATGTATAACCCACTACTTAGTTCGTGGACTTATTGGTAGAGGGAAGCTTATGCAATCATGAAGGAGAAAAGGATGTCAATTCGATTACTCTTCTAAACACAGGTACCAGACCCCTTTTAATCCCAATAGATAGCCCGTGTGAGATCTCCTGTTAACAGCAGTAAACAACGCTAGCACAGGGTATACACAATCTCCATTCGCCAAACACCAGTCGGTCGGGACTACTTATTATCAAGCTTTGTAGCATCGAAAAAGTGTATCCCAACGCAGAAATAATAGAAACCTCAACTAAACTCTTCGATAACTGCCATTAACCATCACCTGACTTATCTTTGTGCTCCATATTTTCAAAATTTTGTCGACTTTAGCCTTAGGATCTTCTTTCTTTTGGTCTGTAGTCGCAGGTTGCGACACAGCCTTTACAGTGAGGGATTTTTTTTGTCGTAGTCCGTTATTGGCTACCGTAGCCCAGGTGGTGTTTGAAAGTTGCACTCTTGGCATTGGGGGCTCTCGTAGGAGGGGTCGCCTGGCATAGAGGTCGGGTCCGAGGCCATAAATTGCGCTATTGCAGCGCGTAGGTAGACCCTCATGGAGTCTACAAACTGTCGATTTGTTCCATTTGTTAATGGGAAGAGGGTTGCTTCGACACCAGAGATGGCGGCGGAACAGACTGTCAGGTTTGCCGCTGTATCGGCGGCGCGTTGCTCTTCGGTTCCGAGAACCGGTCGGAGCTCTGGAGGGCATTCTGCTTTGATAGCAGCTTGGAACTGCGACTCTTTGGTTGAAACCTCTTTCGTTGCAGCTTTCTCCGACGGTCAAGGCTCGGTCAAGGGAGACTTGAATGATTCTCCAATCCCATGGGTGATGGAGGCTTTTTGAGGAATTTTCTCGACGGTTTTAACTGTCCCGATCATATCAGTATCGAGCTCGTTGACTATGGGAAGGATCTTTTCCTTCCCTTTCGAAACGACCCGGTCCATCTCCGCGCATTACAAAGATTGGACAAGGCCAGATAATTGTGCGAGAGCCCATGGGCAGACTCTTGTGTTGTCCAACATGGCGTTGGGTGCCTTTTTCAGTCGGGAGGCATAGTGAAAATGCCTGGAACTCGATCACAATTCAAAGATAAATGTGACAAGACCGAGGGGAAGAGCGTTGGAAAATATCCTCTGTACGATATTATATGGATATATGTGATGAAGTAAAGAAGACCTAATCTTTTACAACTATGGGAACATTGGACTTATACATACATCTAAGAGAGAAATTCCCGCTAGTCTCATATGCCTGTCAATCTAGTGATGACCAGCCACCTCTCATCTACCACGATGAGCCAAGGTACACCGTAGTTCGTAAATACCCATACGTACATGCAACAATAGATGCTATTAGCGCACCCGGTATAAGCGTAGAGAGAGTCGATCTTGTTGGGAACCTGTGTCACAGACCGGCTTTCCCACGAGGAAAACGGCCTGCTTGTCACTACCATTGTGCCATGGGCTAATGCTGAGATGCTGCGCTTAGTCTGGTCAACCAAGTCAGGAGCTTCCCTAGTAACATAGTCAATGCCTTGCAATGGTTACAATGTTATGATAGCAACAGTTACTAATCAACATAAGCAATCAGTTGCTGTGTTATAGCTGTAGACTACCATACCCCTGATTGTAGTAGCCGCTCTTGAGTACTTAAGGAAGGTCTAGGACTGGATTTGTTCTATAGCTTTTTGTCCTGTAATTATACTAGACTTTAGATTGATCCGATTATTATAAGCTTTACCTTATACCCCGACTCTGTCCCGTTCCATCTCCGTCTTGTCTCGCCCTCGTCCCGTTCCGATCACATTCCGTCCCGACTACATCCGTCCCGACTCCGTCCTGTTCCGACCCTTGACCTCCGAACTAGCCAACGAGCCTGACAACCTGAGACGAAACAGATAATGGTTGAGTCCTAAATTCGAGGGTCAGAATTTCCAACACTATCCGAAATCGTTGCCTCTGCGCCCAGACACCCTTGAGTCGAAAATATTCGAGAGATGTGCGTCCCAGCATGCTCATTTGTGACCTCTTCACTCGTTCTTCCCACATCCCAGCTGCCTGTCCTCCCTCAAGACGTGAAGCCCCATAAGAGCAACGGTCCCCCATAGACCAAGACCCGAGCTTAGTAGATTATGACTTAGTTTCCTCCCGGGTATGTATAGCATCGTTACTTTGAAGTGGGAGACGGCCGATTTTTGACAAGGTAAATTCCTGATTGCAATTGGATCAAGGCCTTTATCGCTGGCTGAGGCGAGGTGTTCTAATAAGATTGAGGTTGAGGACTCGCGTGAGAATGATAGGTCCGACATTGACGATGAGTCGTCGATTCTAGATGTGCTTGCGAGTGCTTTCGACTTCAATTTGGATGCGATTTTCCTTGGCTGTCCCAGATATGCAGAGCATACTAAGCGATTACATCGGCACCACTGGAAGGTGAAGAATTCTTCTTTGCCGGCGGAGGCTAGATTTAGGTGTGCGGAGTTTAGTGATTAAAGTGACCAGTGCCTTCTCAACATCGTCTTTAACCTCTTGTTGGTTGAGAATAGACTGCAAAGATAGTTCGTTCCATTTAGCTAACAGCATCTGCTGGTGCTCCTGCCCTTCAAAAGTATCTTTTATAGATGCATATATTGGGTCTAAGGGGCTACTCCGCTGTTCTATCTAATTGTTGATCTATAGTGATCAAGGGCGTTATCTTTTAACATTATCCTGAATGCTTTACTTCTATCTTTCTGTACAATACCGATCATGTCGCAATTTTCGCAGAATATTTCGAATTTGCTATCAAATAGGTCCGAAGGTGAGCCACCGAATTTATTCTCTTCAGAATAAATTTTCATGAGACTGAAAAATTAATTATTGTTACGAATAAGAGCATCACATTGAGGTCGGGCGGAGTCTGAACTAAGTGATGAAGAAGGTTTTGGTACAGTTGAAATTGTTAGAAATTCTGACTCTTGAATTTAGGACTCAACCACTACCTGTTTCGTCTGAGGTTCCCGACAAGATCGACTCTCTCCACACATGTCACGAGTGCGCTAATCGTGCCTACTGTTGCATTTACAATTGGATATTTACGTACTACAGTGTACCTTGGATCATCGTGGTAGATGAGAGGTGGCTGGTCATCACTAGATTGACAGGCATATGAGACTAGTGGGAATTTCTCCCCTAATATGTATATATAAGTCCAATGTTCACATAGTTGTAAAATATCAAGTCTTTACTTCATCATATTTATCCATATAATATTGTACAGAGTATATTTTCCAACAGAAATTGGACGGTGTAACTCTTTAATTTCATAAGGCAGTCATCTGGCATTGCTTCCCATGTAGCATGCTGGGCTTTGAGTAGTTCGATTGCGATTCAGTGACCCTTTCTTGGTACAAAAACATTACGAGATCGGAGGAAATCTCTCAATAATCGTGTTTGAATTGTTATCTTTTTATATTTGGTGTCACGGAAGGATTCGAGGTCTAAGGTCCATAATGCATATAGTTCTCTACCTGCAATGTTGTCTTAATTGTATGCTTGAGTCCTCTCATCAATATAGGTTGCTATCTGCGCGGAAGTTGCTGCAGTCGCGTCTTATGTAGTCCATTGCTTGAAATCGAGCTCTTCAATATAGGACATCTTATTAAGGAAATAATGAACCCTCAATAATTGAGGCTGTAGATCGCTTTGATTTAAGTAACTACCGAAGTGAAACTTAGTACAGAATTTGTAGTCACGTGTGTACCAACAACGTGGCCTACTTTTGTTTTTTTAATAATCATATTGTATTCAGCTAGCTAGCTATGACAATATACGTGGCCTACTTGATAGCCCCAATTATCCTAAATAATTACGCCCTCACTCAACTTTGAGCCTTGCATTATGGATGGATGGTGCGGTATTTCTGTATGGATCTATGAGTAGCATCCCAAGAGTGGCGGTAATACATCAAAGGAGTAATGAGCCTTGGGGACTGGCTGTAAAAGTGCAGGTGCTACGCTACACGCAATCATGTAATTAGAGAATTGCCCTGCAAACCTAGTTAGGAAGTAGCAAGGGCGAAGCCACCAGGGCAGTAAGCACTGGCGTCCATGCCTCTAGGTAGTTTAGTGGGTAGTAGGGACCTAAGTCAAGCTTGGGGCCCCGACGGACGAAAAATAGAAAACAAAAAAACAAACATTATGGGCGACAACAATTTACTTCCTACTATTTTGGTAGCAAGTCCAGCGGTTGGAATGAGTTAGACCTGTAAGCAGTGATCCCCGCCGGCTCCACCAGTCTTGTACCTATAGTGAACCTAGAGCTTTAGCTTAGGACTTTAACATAATAAAAAAAAGAAAATTATGGGCGACACGGCGAGCAGCACTAAGTCACGTGACTAACCAACCATCAATAATTTGTTATTTCCGTTTTGGCTCGTGCACATCCAAAAATGTTATTATTTGAATTTGAATTTGAAATCTTTAACGTGACAGGACGAACCCAACATCTATTTAGACGTGACACGGGTAGATGGGCCCTACGAGCTCATTGCTACCTACATGACCGGCATTAAAGCCAGAAGCGACAAAAGAAAAATAAAATCACAGCAAATGTCTGAGTTACGGTGCCCTGCACCGTATCCCTATCTTCCAAACACCTCTCCTCTCGAGCCAGAAACTATCTCAGCATGGTCACTCCCACCCTGTCAGTTCTTCGGCAGACTGTAGCATCTGCTTATGGTTAGGAATTGGAAAAACTTCTGCCATCCCTTCTCCCCTATCATTTCCCTGACCCCAGGTGGAGTCATTTTCTCACAGCTTCTCCAACGTTGCAGAGCAGGTCGGCACTCTGAAAAATGCCAGGGCCTTTTCTCTCGGCCACAAATGCACATCAGATCTTCATGTTCGGGGTTGAAACGCCGGTGGTAGTCGGCGTAGTCCCCGTGGCCTGTTCTTGCCGCAATAAGACGGTGATACGCCCATCGAGGCAGAGCCAGTTCCGACGGTCGCTTGCAGCGCATGTAGAGGTCGAGATCTTTGTATCGTTTAGGCCGATACTTCTGCCACCACTCTTCCACAAGCTTTTGGCTCCGCATTTTCACTAGTCTCCCTAGAGCCGCAAAGGTCAGAATTTGCTCGTCTCCGTTGGGCGAAGCTGCGGTTAGTGATTGGTCATTGAGATCTCCCAGGGCTGATTTGGCCAGCTTATCGGCTTCTTCGTTGCCTTGGATCCCCACATGACCAGGTATCCAGTGTATTTCTACACGCCTATTATGTCTCAGCGATGAGAACTTGTCCACCACTGTCTGCGAGGAATTGGATCTTCCTTGTTCGAGCGCTCTGACGGCCGCTTGATTGTCCAGAAGAATGCTGACCGGAAAGCCTTCTCCCACCGCTAGTGCAGCCTCCAAGGCTTTCATAGCGCCTACAACTTCTGCGTCGAATACCTCTGCTCCGGGAAGCGGACCCGAGCCACTTCCAGCTAGTTTGCCTCCTTGGTATACCACATAACCCCAAGCTGATTGCCCGGGACCCGACGAGGATCCATCAGAGAAGGCACAGACTGCGTTGGCTGGAAGGGAAGTTAACCATCGTTTGATGCTTCCTGACCTAGCTTCTTTTTCCCGACTGCCTGGTGTCGATGCCGGGAGACCATGGGGAAAGTAGAGCTTTCCAGGGCCTTCCGCTGTCGGAACTTGACGCACGCTTATTTGTAGGCGTGTCATGTACCTTTCTGGCTGTCTGAACAAGCGATCTCGTTGTCCCGATCTAAGACCTAGGCGTTTTATAGTATCTTTCGGGTCCTCCGCCGCCCGAAGGGCTAGAGGGTGCCAGGCATCCATTCTTCGCATTCGAGCTGCAGACCGCAACATCTTTTGTTGGAGAATTATTGATGCCGGGGGAATTCCCGCTTCACGATGAAGAGCGCTATTGGGAGTGGTACGCCACGCTGGGAGTGCTACTCGTATAGCTTTCGTGATAGTTTTGTCCAGCAGAGATGTGTGCCACCCTACTCCAGTGCCGACTTCTTTATCTCGGATGGTGGTTATTCGAGAAAGACCCGGCCACCACGCTTCTGCCCCATAGAGAGCTGTGTTCAGAACGCATGCCTGTACCGCACGAATTAGAGGTCCGGGTGCTGCCCCGCGCTGAACTCCGTTTATATGTCGTAAAAAGTGGACTAGACGATTAGCTTTTCCAGTCCATTCCTGTACATGCTGCTTGAAGTTCAGCTGAGTGTCAAGCCAGACTCCTAACCACCGGATATGAGGCGACGGTTCGATCCGGCGATCTTTCACCAAGATGGAGAGGTTGGCTGTGTTGATTTTCTTCCTAGGACCTCCTCCGGTCACTAGAAGTTCCGACTTTGCCGGGTCAAATTCGATCCTGTGTTCTCTGGCGAGAAGGACGAGGCTGTCGAGGTCTTCTTGGACTGCTGCGATAGCTTCGGCCGCGGTGCTTCCAACTCTAATGATGGCTAGATCATCAGCATAGCCAAACCTGCTCGTTAGTCCATGGTCCTTAAAAAGCACAGCGATATAGAGCATGAAAAGAAGTGGTGACAGTGGCGAGCCCTGAGGTACTCCACATTCCAGCATCTTCTCGTCTGTGGTTCCACCACGGTATTTCACCTGGACTTTTCGTTGGCAGAGAAAGGTCTGAATGAACCGGCACAGAGATAGTGGCCAGCCTTGTTCTCGAAGGCGTTGGAGTAGTCGGTTGTGAAGGACTGCGTCAAACGCACCTTGGATGTCTAGTGTGACCATAGCCGCACATTTTCCGCTTCTCATGGCCGCCTCAGCATCATGGATTACACAGGATGCAAGGTCGACCGCAGATCGTCCTGGTACTGAGCCGAATAATTGCGGATGAACAACTTGGTGACTTATCGTCAGCCATGCCATTCTCTTGCCAAATAGACGCTCAAGTCCTTTACCTAAGCTCGACAGCAGCGAGATTGGTCGCCAGCCCTTGGCAGTTGATAGATTTCGTCCCGGTTTGGGAAGAAGCACAACATCTGCCACCCTAAATGCCGTCGGAAAGTGGCCGATTTTTAGACAGGCCTGGTAGAGATCCTTGACCAGAGGCCCGAGGTGGTACCAACAGGATTTCAGTAAACGTACTGTTATTTTGTCCGCTCCCGGTGCCGTATCATTGACAGAGATGGTAGCGTTTGTCACATCTTCCAGTGATATTTCCGTATCCCATGGAATGCGCACCTCCTGTCCATTCTCCCAGGTTGGGATGTCGTTCTCGCTGCTAAATCTTGCCAAGAGAATGTCTCGTAGCGCACTAGCCCGCTCTCGCGGGTCTGAAAGCCACCGATTTTCCTCAATCTGCAAAGGAGGGGGCTCAGCTGCTGGTCGAGGCTTAGCCCATCTCATGAGCTTGAATACCTGTGCGTCAGTTGTAACTGCCTCCACTTGCCTCTTCCAGTACTCTCGCTTGGCTTTTCGCACAACGGCTCTAAAGCTTTTACGCGCCTGTCTTACAAGGTCCGGATTTTCTCTCGCTGCCTTGTAATCCTGCCACTTGATGCGACATTCATCGTTCCACCAGGGCCCGGTTTTTCCGCTTTCAATGGCTGGGACTTTCCCCGCAATCTTCAGCGCGTCTGCAAGAGCCTGCAGGAGATTAGCTGTGAATTTTTCGATGTCCATGACACTGTCCAGAGGGGCAGCTTTGGTCCATTGGCTGACACATCGGTTGAATTCCTTTAGGTTCTCATCGCTGACACGAGTGTTCCTTACAATTCCAGATAAGTCTGATACTGTAGGGTTTAAGACTGTACCCTCGATGGTCGAGTGATCTGAGGTACAGTGATACTGCTTGGAGACTGATGCTGTTGCAGCTGTGTTGCTCCACGTTAAGTCCAGCACGTTCCCATCCCTATGCGTTGGCTCTCCGACAATGCTAACTAGATCCATATCGTGAGCTGTTGCCCATTCCATAATCTGGTTACCATTGCCGTACTGAATTGTCGTTTGCGGCTGCCAATGCTGTGACACAGAATTGAAATCGCCACCAACAACCACGAGTCCTCTGACTACCCACCGAAGTAAGGGCTCCAAGGTTCCACTGGTGCCCGGGGCACGATACACGTTGACGAAAGTCAGGCTGCCCATCTTTACAAAACAGTAGTCAGATGTCGGGCCTGATGACGGCGGAAAAAATTGAGTCGCACCAATGCCTTTGCGTGTGAAAGTACTCACGCGGGGCCGGACGTCTGTTCCTCCAAACGGTATGTGGCTATTGTATCCAGGGTGACTTTTGGTGATAAAACCCCCCTCTTTCTTCCTTGTCCATGGTTCCTGTACCATGACTACATGTGCACCGGCATCCCATGCCTGCTGCAATGCTATATCTGTATTCTCCCCACCCCTTCCTACATTCACTTGGTGAAAGTGGAGAGTGTTATGTTTATCTTTTGGTGCTTTTGTTGAGGGGTTCCCTAACATTAACACGTCATTGTTGAATCCGGGGTAATGACAGTTTCAACTGCCTTGCCCTTCCTTTCCGAATACGCTAGAGCAGCGTGATAATCACGATGCCCGCGTTCTCTGATGATGTGTAGTTCTGCAGGGGTACGGGGCAGAATTATCCAAAAATGTTATTATTGTCGGAAAGTAGTTTAATTTGCTCTGTATTGAGCATAGTGCATCTCTCAATTGCTGAGTCATTGTCTTGATGACTCGGCCAATACCACGAACTCCACGTTCGCAATGTTTATCGATAGAGATATACAGAAGAATACAAGAATCCATACCTCACTTTCGTACCTTTCGGTTTGCATTGAACTAACCTTACGTATATGTAAATTAAGGCCAATCGAAAATTATTATTATATTATTTGATTTGATTTCATTTTGCCCGTTCAGGTACCCTATGGGCCCATGCAGGTGTATCTAGCTATGATATTTTCACAGGAGGAAACTAAATTCGGTAAAAACCCTCTAAAACTGTCTATCTTGTGTCTATTTGTTTTCTTGGGTTTCCTCCAGGGAGTGCGTTTACACTGTTCACACAGTGTGAATTCCGTCTTATCCTTGTCCACATCGTCTCATCTTTTCGTCTATAGCTATTTCTACTTCTCCTACAAGCCGGAATTGTTCAAACCAGCCTTTTGCCAGGATCCATTTTCTAATTCTCTCCATATCATCTGGGCTGTTCATAATTGCCGTAAAAGACCTAACTTTTGCCTTTCGAGGCACCTCTCCTCTTCCCATTGTGCCATGGGAACATGCCAAGACCATATGTTTGACATTTTGAGACGGACATCCACACTGGCATTTTGGATTAATCACTCCGGGGATTTTCCTTTGATACAGATAAGAATTGAGACCAATGTGCTCACTTCTTATCTGAACTGCAATACTGCTTTAGGCCCTACTAAGGTTCCGGGTTATTATATTATTACGAATTCATTTTATTGTCTTGTCCGAGTCTATGTATTATGATTGGTATATGATTCGGGAACGTACACTTGCGCTGGAACAGCTAAGACAGTATGTGGAGAAATGTCTTCATTAATGTGCAGAAGCGAAGTGACTATGGTAATTCTTATGTTACAGATTGTGGGAAGCTCGTCCCTTATGCCCTAGCTTGTTCGCTTGTAGACCGATCATGTTACCAGTATGCAGCGCACCTAAGTGTGCTCCCAGCTGAGCAACCATGCCATTCATACTATGTCAACAACCCATCTCTCATATTGCACACATTACTACTTGTAATGTCGGTATGTAGAGACTGGATCTCCTCCATGCGCCATAATGCCATGCTGCCATAATACTACCTGTGCACCAGCTACTAGATCTACCATACTACATAGCTGAGCATAACACTATGAATATGTATGAAATGCGGGTCCTCTCTGCCTACAGGCCAAGGATACCTATGCCAGTAGTATATCTCCTCCTATGCCTCCCATACAGCTCCCCTCAAACAGTACCACCCCTCACAAGTCCTCATTCGATCATAAACTAAGAGGAGCCCTTAGCCCATCATTATCTCCCCTCTCCAGCCAACGAAACGATAGCCATTTGCGGATGTATGGCAGCCGGGAAAACTCGCAAAAACCACTGGGTGCGGGGCTCTTCTAATACCGACATTGGGAATAAATCCGAAGACATATTGCCCCTTCTGAAGCGTTCAAAGAGGCCGGCCAGCTGGGCGCTGCAAACTTGTGTGTACCTCGGGAAATTCACCCTCTGCCTTTCTAGCCTCCTTCCAACTCCTTCCCGAAGGTCGTGTTGAATTGTCAGAAAAGTCTTGACAGAGTGTGATTGCTGTATAGTAGCTTAGCCCAACATCTTTCGTGCCGTCCAGGGCGCTGGGGAGTACCGTTGACTCATCGACAAAAGAAGCCCTTCTGACTAATTATCCGAAATCTTTGTCTTGGCGCTCACAAATGCTTCAAAGTTGAAAACCCCTCAAAAATGACAATCCCAGCATGGCGTTCAGAGACCTATTCCCCCTCTCGCTCCATAACTCAGACGCCTGTTCACCCTCAAGTTGTTTGTCCCATTAGAGCGACAGTCCCCCACAAGCCAAGACCCAGGCTTTGTATTTTTCGATTTGATTTCCTCATTGCGGGTATAAATAGCGTCATATATATATATATATATAGTGAGAGATGGCTGGAAATTAATGGGGCAAGCTCCTGTATGCAATTGGAGCAACTTCTTTATTGGTTATTGAGGCAAGATTATGCGTGGTTAGAGAGAGGTTGAGGATTCAGATGAGTATGACAAGAGAGGCATTGTTGAGAAGTCGTCAAAAGGAGATGTGCTTGAGGTTGCTTTCGACTTCGATTCGGATGCGATTCTTCTCAGCTATCCCAGATATGCAGAGCATACTGAGCGGTTACACCGGCACCACTGGAAGGTAAAGAATTTGTCTTTGCCGGCCATCCAAAAATGCTGTTGCGATAGAAAGATCATCTAAAAATTGTCTGCGATGAATCCACAAAATCTGAACAGTTAAGGCTATTGATGGAAATCTGTCAACGGCTCTCCTACCGATCAGCGTCCTGGCGAAAACCCTGAAATTTGCCATTATTAGTAAATGGAAGTAGTTCCGAGGAAATATATCGCCCCAGGACTTGTTTTTGTTTTGTTCATTAACGTGCTAGGTTACATGGCTACCGTTGCACTCCTATTGGAGCTTAAGCACGTGTGAGGTTGGGCCGGATCAGGTTAACTACCGTGAAGTACAGATAAACCTCGTCCCACTTTAATGACCGGACCACCTCAGACTTCACCTGTGTGTTCAATCATACCAAGCCTAACCGTCCAGAAACCCGCTGTATACACGCCATAGTGCGATTTCCTCCTCAGCCTCAGCCACCACGCGCCCGAGCCCTTGACATCCTCATTGACTCCGAAATATAAATGCCGTCCAAGATCTCATCGTTGCTCTAGCCTTGTACCTTCATATCGTACCGTTGGATTGTTTTCGTCATTGGGGATTTGTGTAATCCCCTCGGTGTATCTTCCCTCTTCTTCCTCCTTTGTACACGTCCCGTTTTCATCATGACTTTCCTCATTAGGGCGTGTGTAGGTAGGTGATCGGACGGGTATGGAGGTAGGTCGCAGGTGTAGGATCGATTGAGAAATGCTTCGTCGCAAGTATAAAAGGAGTTTAAGAAATGTCGGATGTTTGAGTACGACCCCCAGATAGACCTAGGCCCATTCGTGAATCGTATGTTGGTGGTGATGACTTTTTGTTCGACGTTGTTCCGGCTGTGAAATCTCTGCCGACTGATTTTTCGACCAAAATATCGGATGCAACTCCTTCAAGTCGAAAATCCATCAATTAAAATTCATCCCACCCTTTTTCATGATTGAATCTCAGATCTGGGAGAATATTTCACTCCCAGGTTCGTAGAGGACACCACTGACAGGTGAACAGCCTTCGTCCTCCGCTCCAGGACTTGTTTGTTTTTTTTTTCTTTATTTACTTTTGGTCCTAAGCTAACGCTATCTTTTCCACATTGGGTCAAGGACCGGTGGAGCCGGCAAGGATCACTGTGTACAGGCCCAACTCATTCCAACCGCATGAACTTCTACTGAAATTGTAGAAGTTAACAGCAAAACTAAAATCAAAAACATAAATCAAAAACTGAAATCAAATTTGGAAGAAATACTGTTAGGTCCGGATCCCGCGTTTCTCGCCCGTTCCCTTTCCTGCCACATCTTCCAGGTGGCTTTTTCTTATCTCCGCTGAGAGCGAAAGACTAGTTCGCAGATACCCTGAATTCAGCTGGTATCCTGCTATATATATTGAAGCTTTTTGTAGACTTCACCGAGGGTTGCTGTACCCTCAAACTTCTTCTTCGGATCCCAGGATTCCGAAACCCGATCCCTCGGCCATCGAGACATCCTTCGTTGAGGCCATCGTTGCCTCTTCGGCCCTTTTGGCTGCAGCCCTAAATCGAGCCACTTTCGCAAACTCCCCTTGCTGGATCTGGCAGATCCGCGCGAGCTGCTCTTTTGTCACCAGTCCGGACTTGCTGGGTCTGGCTAAGCAGGCCCGGGAATCTGATCGGTGAGGTCCCCCACAGTTTCGACACCGGGTGAGGGCCTTGCACTCTGATTCTGAGTGCATATTAGATCCGCATTTCCAGCAAGCTGGAGCGCGGGAACAACCACGGGTGGCGTGAAACTCAAGACACCGTTTGCATTTTTTGATTTTGCGACGAGGTCGGAAGACCTTTGCAGCTCCAGAGTCGTCGAAAAGGCGGAATCCAGGTCGAGGAGCGGATTCTCGGGGAAATAGCGCATGCCAATTTGAGTAGGGCGCCCCTGGTTTGCTAGTCCCATGAGGACGAACCAGAAGGGGAACCAACTGGGTCACTTGCGTGACTTCGTCGGCAACCATCTTTGCCGTCACGGCGATTGGGCCAGCAAGAGTTCAAATTGTCTCCGGGACGGTGGCAATTTGCATGGCAACCAGATTTGATGCTGGTTCCAGTTTGATTCTAGATTCGCTCCGTGATGTGGAGGAATCTAGGAGCTCTGTTCGAGCGACTTCATCCTTTGCGGTTATTGCAAAGCCGGTCTTTACCCTCTGAACCAACGTGATATTGTTGGCAGCGGTTCCCAGCGCCTGAGACACCGCTAGCCTTACTCCAGCTGGAGAAAGGAGACGGCGGGGGTGGAAATAGTCAAGGCGCAGAAAAAGTCGTGAATCGACTTTTCCACTCGAGTTGGCACTTTTTGGTTTCTGGGCGGGCGGTGCTGCCTTTTTTGTCGATGGCCCAGCGCTGCTGACTAGGCCTGCCCGAGCTACGGTGGCCCAAGTTGTCTTTGGGGCCGGAGCCTGGGTTTTCGTAGAGTTAGGTGCCCTAATTTCTGGAGCCCTCGGTGAGAGAGGGTTGGCGGGGCGGGCAGGAAGGACTGGTGGTGTGCTTCCTGGACCGGATTGAACGAACTGGCCAATAGCTGCTCGTAGGTAGACTTTTATACCGTCTACGAATTCTTTATTCTCGCCGATCGAAAGAGGCGAAAGTGCTGCTTCTACACTGTTTATTGCAGTCGAGCAGATGGCGGGGCGGGCCGTAATTTGCGTCGTACGTCGCTTTTCGGCCTCCATCACGGTTTGCAGCTCCGGAGGAAACTCCATAGCTGATGTCGATGCTGCGCCTTTTGAGGCTGGCACAGCATTTTTTCCGGCAGACGATTCTGCACGTTCGGTCGTCCTTTCTCTGACGACCTCCTTTCCTTTCCTGGAGCTGCTTGCCTCGAGGGCCAGCTCGGCGGGTTTCGCGGTCTGTTGACTGTTCGTTTCTGTTCTGTTCTGAT